AAACACGCCATATCAATTATCTAGCATATCATCAAGGTTTCAAACACAAAATCTAAGCGATTCAATACACCAAAATACAAGTAATCGATAGCAAACACTCCTACACATCGATCATCAACGTCTTACATTCATGATTAAGGGAGGCTACTACCAACTTTGGAAAAACCATTCATGAATCATTCAAAAATGCATACAATCCCCCCCCCCCCCCCCCCCCCACCACACACACACAATTTAGAGACACATTGTCCTCAATGTGAGAATTCAAAGATATGTTCATGAATTGTTACCATAGGGTGTTTTGGTGGGTTGGTGTAGGTGTACAAGTGTAAGTCTTTGTCTTTCAGGTTGGTATAGGATGATAAAGCCCATAAGTAGAGAGAAGAGAAGGTTATGGGGCACAAAATAACTATTTACACCATAAATTTGTTTTGTACCACATTGATGAGTTACAAGATAAGTAATGAGTTTATAAGTCCATATTAATTATTAAAATTAATGTTATTTAAGTTGTATATTGATTTTAAACCCAAATCACTAAGTCATTAGTGAGCATAGACATGATTCAATGACGGACATGGGCCTCTCATAGAAGGCCATGCCATGCCACAAGATTGTATAAAAATAAACTAAGTCTGGAGAAGGACGTGCCGCTTCAACTAGGAGGGCCATGTCCGTCTAGAATCTAGAAGCACGTGCCGCTTCAAGAAGAGGGCCATGACCGTCTACAATTTAGAATCACGTGCTATGTCAACGCGAGTGACCATGGACTTGGGAAATTTCTCAAGTACATGATCATGCCACGAGAAGCCTATCTCAAAGGAGACAAAAATTACTAAGCCTGAGAGGTCCATGCCGCTTCACGAGAAGGGCATGGACGCGAGACAAGAGGGCCTAGGCATGATTGAAAAAATGCTAAGTTTGAGAAGACCATGTTGTGTCACGAAAAGGGTCACGAACATGTTTGAGAAGTGCATGATCGCAAATGAAGAGTCCATGCCGCCTCATGACCAAGATCGAATGACCCAAAATATTCTAAGTTTGAGAATGCCATGCCGCCTCACGAGAAGGGCCATGTGCATGATTAAGAGGTTCATGGTTGTGTCATGTGATGGCCATGGACTCTAAGCAAGAAGCATTAGACACGATTGAAAATACTATGTTTGGGAAGGCCATGTTGTCTCATGGGAGGGGCCATGTGCATGATTGAGAGGTCCATGCGACCTCACAAGAGTGGCCATAGACACAAATGAGAAAGGCGTGGTGGTGGAGCATTATATCAATAGTGACTGAGTCCCAAGAGGGCCATGGACATGAGTAGAAGTCCATGGTCTTCTGGCAAGAGGACCACGAAGTGAGACACCACATGCTTATCAAAAGACTAGCATGGCATGAGATTTAGAACAAGACCATGCGAGAAAAGCTACTCTCCAAGACCCACGGCGGTTCCAAGAGAGGCACCTAGGTGGTTGAAGGATTAACCACCACTCCGGGGAAGCAGGGAGCTATTCTTTTTGGGAGTTATCCAAGAGGCGGGTTTTCTACTGAAGAAGGGGGAGCGGTTCTTTGTAGCAGTTATCCAACAAGCGGTTTTCTATGGCGGTCACCTCCTCGTGGCAATAAATAGGAGGAGGGGTCGACAGAGATAAATATTTCCAAAACCAACACTCTGACACACATGTCAAGTTTATCCTTTTTCTTTTCTCTATCATGTAGCCGTAGACGTACTTTTCAGTTTGGAGCTCTCATCGAACCTCCACAGGATTAGAAGTAACTTAATTTAGATTTTCATTCTCACAAACCATCAATCAAACACCCTCGTTCGAACTTTGTTTGAAGAGGTGTGAGCCGTGTTTTAGTATCGTTATCCAAAGAAGTCAAAGGTGTAATTTTTTTCAACGCAAGTTTTCTTGTCGGAAAACAATAACGTAGATAAATAGTTATTTAAGTGTACTACTACTACTACTACTACTAGGGATTAAAATTACGAGGTATACGGAAACAAAAAGCATAGAAAAATTAGACATTGTTTAAAGTAAAAAAGCAAAGACATAAAAGAGAGAAAAAATAGGTCATGGATTGTCTAGAACTTAATCCTCCTCGGAGGATTCTTCTTCAACTCCGACTTCAAATTGTTTGGGGGAAGGTGAGCGAACAAAAGGTGGGGAGATATCCGCTAAGGAGATCTCCATCTTCTCCATAATTGCATGTATGCACGCCATAAGGTGTTGCCTCTTGCTTCCTTCTCCCTTCTTTGGCTGTTGAGGATTGTCGCTATCAACGCTTGGGTATGGTAATCACTAACTCGCATGGTAGGTTGGTAGATGAGTCACCCCCTGCTCTCGCACGCCTGCTTCTTGTCCCTTCTCGCCATCCACGTCCGTTGCATATCCTGATACACGCCGGTTGGTTGGCATCGAGAGACGGAACACCGTGCATTTCATATCCAATGTATTCGTGATTAGGAAGGGAAATAAGAGTGGTACCTAGAGTCCATTCGAAACTTAACCGTCCAGAAGTCCACTCCAAAGTAACGGGCGAATCGAGTGATATATGCTCCAGCGTGTAACGCAACAAGTCGAAGATCGTTTTCAGATCCCATAAGTAGTAGTTAATCAATAGAACATATGAGCTTCCTTCAACCACTATAAATAAAATTCTACACGTTCATTCGGTTGTCTTTTCTTACATATTTATATATGAAATATTTGAAAATCAAAGGTTTATAAAAATTTCTACCAAAGATAGAAGATATAGAAATTTAAAATCATACCTGATTATAAATTTAAAATTATTGTGAATTTGACTCATATTAATATAATAAAATAATTATATAATAATAAAAATATTATATATGATAAATAGTTAATAGGATGAGAAGTAAATGATATTTTATTTGAGAAATCGACCATGGGGTGAAAATTTGAGAGAAAAGTTTCATTTTTGGCAGTGCCTATTTTGAGTCTCCTTTCTTATTTCAATAAGAATAAGATTACAAATAAAACATATATGTTACTTCCACCATAAGTCCATAACCAATTATTAGAGGTGGCAATTGGATAGGATTGGTGGATTAGTGGATTGGATTGGTGGATCCATGGATTAAATGGATTGGATCCAATGGATTGGTGGATTCATGGATTGGATCAAATGGATTGGTGGATTGATTCATGAATCCAAATAACATCCAAGGCTTGGACCAAAATGTAAAATTTGAAAAGTTTTGGTACTAAAATGTCGTAATGAAAAATTTTAGGTACCAAAATGTAATTTTCCAATGATATTTTCCGTATAAAAATATAAATTTTAGGTACCAAAATATAAAATATAAAAATTATAGGTACCAAATTGTAATTTGCCATTTGGATCCATAGATTGATCCATGAATCCACCAATCCAATTAGATTTGGATCAAATGGATTGGATTTAAATGGATTGGATTTGGTGGATAATTTGGTGGATGGATTGGATTGGATTCATGGATTTGGATCCTAATTGCCACCTCTACCAATTATATAGTGTTACAAAATTAAGTTAAGGTCTCCAAGTTGCCCGTGGAAACATTCTCATTCAATTCTCTATCAATTTTAGGGCAAGCATTCAAAATTAAGGCAAAATGACATATTTGTATTAACATTCTAAATCACAACTCAAACAACCTCGTAGTGTTGATACTTGATAGGATAGTATGAGCATATCCTTTTTTTTCCCTGACCCATCGATCACAATAAAATCAATCTCGCCCAATTAGCAAACCAAATAGAGCAAGTGGACAAAGATTCCGCCTTAATAATCCTTCCTTTATAAGAAACCCAAATCACAATTAGCCCATGATTCAAGGTACATAAATTATGTACAAATATGGTCGTAAAATATTACTCTACCTTAATTCACGATTTTCGAAATGTTATTACTATATTTATGCACCCACACACCGTCGCATTATATAAGTCGTACATATGCTAGCTACTGCCGGCCGCACAACCAACCAACCCTCACTCTCTCTCTCTCTCTCTAGCTAGCTCCCACTCCATTCACGGAAAAAAAAACACTCGGAGTCCTTTCTACACAACAACAATGGAAGGTCGCCTGCCACTAGTTCTCGTCTTGTTCCTTGTCGTCGCTCAATCTTCCGCCGGCTACCGTCCCCTAGAGCAATATCATTCCGACGGCCGGTATTCATCGAGGGAAGGCGCCGGCAGAAGGTACGTCGACCATTTCCTCGACTACGCAGAAGCTGCTACCGATCACGAAACTAGCGATCTCGCCTACTACGAGCCTCAGCGCTTTGGGAAGTCCACGTTCGACGTGACGGAATATGGAGCTGTCGGCGACGGCAGGACCGACTCCTCCAATGTGCGTTTTTTGTCTAATTCATTATCGTCGAGTATTTTCAACTGTTTTTTTTTATATCCATGCATGCATGTACGTAACATCTTTTTTTGATTATTGTGAAGGCTTTCCTGAGGGCATGGGACGATCTGTGTGGAGCAACGGGAGGGCGGCCGACTCTCGTCATACCTCACGGGAAGGAGTTCCTTCTTAGCCCTCTTTCTTTCAAGGGTCCATGCAAGTCCAAAAACCTTTGGATTCAGGTAACTAATTTTTTTTTTGTATTAATATGGAGAGTATACATATATGATATGGTGGTGGATGGCAAGAGCTACCCAATATTTGGTTATTGCTCAAGGGTAAAATCTAATTTTGGTTAATTTTTTTTTACTTTTGCGGTATATTCATACAACTTTTTTAGTTCGATCTGAATTAAACTTTATAGTATTGGAAGTGTAAAAGAAAACGAATACGCAATTATAATGAAATTTTGTCTTGTTTTTTTGTTGTGACTAAAATATACCTATATTATTGGGTTGAAGGTAGTTGATGAAATTTTTTTTTATATAATCATCTTGACCCAGTTAGACTCGTTTGAGTCCAATCCAAATGAATTAACCCAAACGGAACCCAATTCTAACCCAACCCAAACTCAAAATCATTAAAAATACCTATTTAATTAGGTCAGACAACAATCACATGAATCATGAAAACTGAATCAAATTACTCCTACCCACTTTCATGTATCTACATAGTGACTCGTTTTTTGGTTGCTTAAGCTGCAAGGCACACTCGTGGCACCCGGGAGCATGAACGCCTGGGACGACAACAACAAGGAGAAATGGATTCAGTTCATGCAAGTAAACGGCCTAACCATTTACGGCGGCGGGCAGATCGACGGCCAGGGCAAGATCTGGTGGGACTATTGCCAGGAAGACAAGAGCTGCCCACGACCATCCGTAACACACCACAAATCCAATATCCCTAACTACGTAGACCGTTTTTTTTTTTTGGTGCTATGTTTTTTTCTGAACTGCATTATATATGCAAATCCAGGCGCTGAGTTTCCACTCGTGCAACAACCTGCGGGTGAGCGGGTTACAGCACGTGAACAGCCAGAAGAACCACATTAGCATCAACGGCTGCAACGACGTGGACATCTCCCACCTGAAGATCACGGCGCCGGAGGAGAGCCCCAACACCGACGGGATCGACATCTCCGCCTCGAACCACCTCCACATCCACGACAGCTTCATCGGGACAGGTGACGACTGCGTGGCCATCAACGGCTTCTCTTCCTACATCAACATCTCCCGCGTCCTGTGCGGGCCCGGGCACGGCATCAGCATCGGCAGCCTCGGCAAGGGCGGCGCCTACGAGACCGTGGAAGAAGTCCACGTCGAGGACTGCACCTTCAAGGGCACGATGAACGGCGCCAGGATCAAGACCTGGAAGGGAGGGAGAGGGTATGCTCGGAAGATAAGCTTCGAGAGGATAAGGATGATCAACGCGGGGAACCCGATCATCATAGACCAGACGTACGTGAACCGGATGGCAGCGGCGTCGACCGATGAGGAATATGATGCTTGGTCGTCGTCGTCGTCAGGGGACGTGGAGATAAGCGACGTGTCGTACAAGGGAGTGATAGGGTCGTCTACCGACGCCAGGGCGGTGTACTTCAACTGCGGGGATGGAGCGGGTTGCAGGAACATTGTGGTGGAGGATGTGGAGATGACGTCTGCGGTTGCTGGGAAGCAGTTGTTTGCGGTTTGCAATAACGCTCACGGGACTTCCAGTGCGGACCGATCACCGAGGGTTCCTTGCCTTCTGCCATGACACCTCCATGATAGTCGATAGATGAATATAGTGAAGTAGGCTAGCTAGCTAGGATGGTAGTATCGTTTTGTTGCATTATTAGTATTACTAGCTTTGCAATGATTTCACCCCTATAAAAAAGAAATCAAGTATCAAACACTACACGGATAGATTTCGCTTTCAGTTGATATGCAGAAGAAAAAGTTGCAGCAATAACCAGAATGAAGGGTATATCAGCAATTGTTCTAGTTTTCTTACTCATGATTGCTCAGACTACTACTCCATCATCTTCTCGCATACTGGCGCAGCAGCACCTTTCTTTCGAAGTGCTTAACTATGGAGCTCTTCGAGGCGGTCCTGTTAGATGCACATGGCTAATTCTGCATGAACAATCCCTTGTGTCTCACGCTTCCGCACGCCCTGCTTAACATTCCTCTGCCTCTGCCTCTGCCAGTCTTCCTAGCTAGCTAGCGCTTGAAATGGTTACTGCCTTTGCACTTTTTGTACATTTTTCTGCAGGCAGTTAGTTTCAACAAATGTGACAGTCTTCACTGGTACTTCTTCCGACGTTCAGATCCTCGACTTCACTGGCACTTCTTCCAACGTTCAGATCCTCGACTTCACTGGCACAGGTACGAGTCCATTTTGAGACTTGTTGGGTACATGCCATTATCAGTTCTGGAAATAATGAGCCAGGTAGACTCCCTGCTTACTTACAGGGGATGATTGCATTTGCATCAATGGCTTTTCACCTTAGATCAACATTTCCGACATCGCCATGGCATTTAGTATTGGAAGCCTGAGAAAGAATGGAGCCAATGAGACGGTGGAAGAAGTCCATGCTCAGGACTCCCAACTTCACTAGAACTAGCATGGTGCTAGTATCAAGAAGTGGAAGGTAGAAAATATCCCTACCACTCACTCCATTCAATCCCCAACCGAACAATTCATATATTTGTTCAATCCTGTATTTCCTAACCCAAATCGTTTCCTCAGAATTGCTAGTTTGCAACACTGATATAATGTCTTCTGTGGCACTCATCATCGACCAAGAATACACCTTTATGGCGCTTGTTCCTCATGACTTCTCATCAGATGTGGAGATCAGTAACATTCTGTACCGTGATGTGCGAGGAGCCACCGTTGATGAGAAGGCTATAGTCTTGAATTTGTGGGCAGCTACAAGGATGCACCAACATTCAGCTGCCTTGTCACCGTAGATCCCCCAATCACAACCCTTAATCCTCTTTACCATTACTGCGAGATGAAACTGGTAGCACATAAATAAACATTTATGCAATACTCAATTTTCAGCCCTTATATAGCAGGATCAAAATACAAAGAATATGTAAATTAGTTACAATGATACACTGGCACCAATAAGTTGCAGAACCCAAGAGCTCCGGCTGCCTAATTCCTCAGGCTGACGAGCTCGATGTCGAAGATGAGGGTTCCCAATGTGGACCCTTCTCCATTGGCAAGCCGCGTTGGGTTGAAAATTGTGGTGAACAGCCTCTGCCTGTCAAAGAACTACCCCCAAAACCGAAACAGGCTACACTTAGAGAAATATGGCAGTTTAATTTCAGCAGATTCATGGAAAGAAAGGAGGGAATCATGCATAATCTCTAGGAGAAATTGATGCATACATTAGGAGGCAAAGGCTCTTGCGAAGTGTTCTGATAGCCTTGGGAGGGGGGAATCACCACCCGACGAATGCCGCCCACTTTCATCGACTTAACGGCTGATTCAATCCCTGCAATCACCTGTAAATTGTGAATCGGTGTACATTAGCAATTTAGCGGCAACCAACAAGGTGAAGTGTCTGCTCCGCTAGGCGAACTGTCCTTACTTTTCCAGAGCCGAGAATGAATACAAAAGGAATCGCCTCCCCACTGGAATCTTTATGATCGTAAGTCGAATCAAACCGCCATCCTTGTTTGGCTCCCAACCTTCCATAGTAATGGATTGATACCTTTTTTCCAAGCACAGAATTGAGATTCGAGGGGGGAAAAAAGAAGAAGAACCCAAATCAGGGAAAAGTCTATTGGGTCAGTGTAAGAGAGGGCGAGACAGAGACAGAGGGAAGAAAGACCTGATCGCCGTCGGCGGGGACTGCGCCGGAACCGACGCGGAGGTCCAACGCCCTGACGCCGCCGGAATTCGGAAGCTCGAGGAAATCGGTGATCGAAGAAGAATATGCAGGATTGGCGGAGGAGAATGGCAAGGTGGATAGGACTAAGGATGCTGCCGATAAAGCTTTTCGTCTAGTCGTCGTAGTTGCCGTCGGCGGAGGAGAGGGCAGGGGAGAAGTTGCGGTGGCGACTTGGGTGGCAGCTGAAGTTGATTCAGCGGAGATGGTAGATGAAGCAAAGCGGACAGAGTAAGCGCATGGTGCGTGGGATGATAGATTAGGCGCCAAACATTTCATCGCCATTCCCTGCCGTTCAAGTTCGTCGTGGAGCTTTTGGAGTTCCAGTTCGCGGACAAGGAAAACAGCAGGCAACAGGCAAAGAATGGATAAGGTGATTAAAAGGGAGGACAAAATTGTATAAAAAACAAAGCGAAACGAAAATTATTCAATCGAATCGCCGTCTGTGGGAATCGAACCCACGACCACGTGGTTAAAAGCCACGCGCTCTACCGGCTGAGCTAAGACGGCCAGACGGTCTAGGATCGGAAACGATTGATTCAACTTAGCGAACGAGTCCAACTCCGAGCAACAGTGGGTCTCGAATACTTTCCTTTATGCTCTTTCTATGCTCGAGCTGCCCTTCTGTTCCGGCAAGTGTCGCTGACTGAAGTTGAGGAACGGAGGAGCTGTGGACTCGCGGAGTAAGTGCGGTAGAGCAGAAGGTGAGGAAGAGGAGAAAATGGACAGCAGCGAAGAAGAAGATGACTTCCCATCCATAGAAACCATCACTCCTCAGTCCAAGATCGACTCAACCTATCAATCCCACACTGAAAAGGTTCGTCCTTTTGTTCATCAGCTACTTCCCGGGTCTCTGCTTGTTTCCTTGAGTTGGATTTCTTTGGATTCGATTCTTGCACCCAACAATGCTTTCTACGTTCTGTTTGCTTTCGATCTTCGTATCTGGGTTCTCTGCGATTCTCAAGTTCGGTTTCAGTTCTCTGCTGTCTGGGCTCTCTTCCTGGGAGTTCAGACGGTGAGCTAGAACTGTGTTTCTTGTCTTCTCTTGGTGTGCTTGAATCCTAGAATCTCGGCCCTTGCCACGGCATTGGTTGTGGGAAGCTGTTTTCATATGCCTTAATAAGCTTGGTCCCATTTCCTCTCTAATTAGAAGGAATTCTATTTCTGTGTGGTTATAAGCATTAAGAGAAGAGCGAGCGCAGGTTCATTGATCTGTGCATTTTAAACTGTATTCGAGGTAGTTGCATCGCAGGCCACTAAAATGTTTGAATACTGTTGGCGTTTAAATGTTTGAAGATGGGGTTGGGAAGGGCATTTTCAAATCAGTTTTGATTTGGGTTTTCTGTACTGAAACACCTGGTTTTATGAATACTTGCAGGGTATCCGAAAACTTTGCTGCGAGCTCTTGGATTTGAAGGATGCAGTGGAAAATCTGTGTGGCAATATGCAAACGAAGTACTTGGCTTTCATGAGGTAAATAGGTCGGATTTGGCTGCTCAAAATAATGAGGAAGCAGATCTGTATATCATGGCCCATACAAATATGTGATGAGATGTCTTTTAAATGAATGCTTAATGCTTTTATTGATTTCTTCTTCATTTTTGCGGCATCCTAGCAATTGAACTGGTTTTTTACAATTTTGTCTCATTTGTTAAAAACCATGATCTAAGTTCTTTTCATGTCACAGAATGTCAGATGAAGTAGTGGAAATGGAGCATGAATTGGTTGAACTGCAGAAGCATATTTCAGGCCAGGGGATTCTTGTGCAAGATTTGATGACAGGTGTTTGCCGTGAAATAGAAGACTGGAATGCTATTGACGGTAACAATGTCGCCTCCCAGCAAGATGATGAACTTGAAGACGTGTTATGGAGTGAAGCAGACAATCCTCAGGTGCTTTTTCTGGACAATGTTGATATTCTTTTGGCTGAACATAAGGTGGATGAAGCACTCGAGGCTCTAATGGCTGAGGAGAAAAGTTCTCCAGAACTGAAGGGCTTAACAGATACTTCGTCATCTGAAGAATCAACTTATAAATCAGCTTTTCTGAAGAGAAAGTCAACTCTTGTGGAACAGCTAACTGAGATTGTTCAACATCCATCTGCTAAAACTGTGGAAATGAAGAAAGCCTTGGCTTCTTTAATCAAACTTGGGAAAGGCCCTTTTGCTCATCAAATCCTTCTTGAATTGTATCGATCACGCCTCCGCAAGAACATTGAGGTGTTCTTACCTTCATGCTCATTGTGCCCCAAGACCTTCCCCGGGACACTTTGTAAACTTGTTTTCTCTTCTATCTCAACAGCTACAAAAGAATCCATCCTCATATTTGGAGATGATCCTGTATATACTAGCAGAGTTGTACAATGGGCTGAGTGGGAAATTGAATCTTTTGTGCGGTTGGTCAAGGATAATGCTCCTTCCCCAGACACAGTTTCAGCGTTAGATGCTGCTAGTAACTATATTCTGGCTAGTCTTGCATTTTGTTCAATGTTGGAGCCACAGGGTCTAAAACTATCAAAGCTTCTTCTGGTTCTCTTGCGTCCATACATTGAAGAAGTCTTGGAGTTGAATTTTAGACGTGCAAGAAGGCTAATTCTTGATGTGACACAACCTGATGAGAGCTCTGAACTATCGACACACCTTGTGTCACCATTATCTGCTTTTGTAGCATCCTCAGATATTGTTCTTGTTGACAGTGGGATAAGATTTATGGACATAATTGAGGTAAGTTGATGATCTTTCATGGTTTTGTTGCTGTTTGTGATTGTTGGCCTTGACACATAATTGATTGGCATTTGCTATTAACATTGTTATTAACATTGTTCTTAATATGTATGTTTCAAGCTTGATTTTCACTTCTGATGATGTTACCTCCCTAAATTTTATGCTTGTATCATGCATATATGATAGTAGTCTCCACTTACGAATTCCTAGTTGACTTGATCTTCTTTCTCTTGTATGCTGTTGACCAATTTATGGAATATAACTTTCTAGAAAAATGATTTCTACAGGACATACTTGTTCAGTTGACTCCTCCAGCTGTCATGCATTTTGGAGGAAGTGTGCTGATGAGAATAGCACAGCTATTTGATAAATACATGGGTGTGCTCATCAAATCTCTACCAGGACCCTCCGATGATGACAATCTTACAGAGCTGAAGGAAGTCATACCATTCAGAGCAGAGACAGATGCAGAACAACTTGCATTGTTGGGAATGGCATTCACTATTCTTGATGAACTCTTACCTCATGCTGTGAAGATGGTTTGGAGTCTGAAGAAAGAAGGGAAGGAATCTAATGATGACATTGCTGCTTCAGCTGCTACTTCGAGCATTTCCGGGGAGTTGAAGGACTGGAAGCGACAATTGCAGCATTCATTTGACAAGCTTAAGGATCATTTCTGCCGCCAGTATGTACTGAGTTTTATCTATTCAAGAGAAGGAAAGACACGACTTAATGCACAAATCTACTTCGATGGCGACGGAGAGGATTTAATACGAAGCTCGGAACCTCTGCCTTCATTGCCATTTCAGGTTTTACCTTGGTCGATCCTTTTCTGAATGTTACATGGAATTTTTCTCGATGAATAATGTTACATGGATTTACTTGTTATAGACATGCATTTTTATGTATTAGGCACCCTGTCGGTTTTGGATGATGAGAACGAGTGCATACAGTAATTAACTTTCACTTAGGTGGATTATAATGTGGGACACTCTTTTCGGTTTGGAATTTTGTTCTGACAAGATCTTTGAACTTCGCATTTCAGGCACTGTTTGCAAAGCTGCAGCAGTTTGCAACTGTGGCAGGAGATGTATTACTCGGGAAAGAGAAATTACAGAAACTCTTGCTTGCTCGGCTCACTGAAACAGTAGTCATGTGGCTTTCTGATGAACAGGAATTTTGGGGTGTATTTGAGGATTCTGCTATTCCAATTAAGGCACTAGGGTTGCAGCAGGTAATTGTGATATGCAGTCGTTTACACTTGCACCTAGCAATCATCATTTGTTCCAAAGTATTGAATGTTTACTCGATATGGTCCTGGCTGGCAGCTACTTCTTGATATGCATTTCACAGTGGAACTTGCCCGTTTCGCTGGTTACCCATCCAGGCAAGTGCACCAAATCGCCTCAGCCATAATTGCTCGAGCAATCAGGACTTTCTCAGCAAGAGGAATCGACCCACAAAGGTACTACTAATCCCCAGATCACTTGGCATTTCTTCTTTTATATCCTGCAATACCACTACTCTTAAATCTGTCTACCCTTCAGAGATTAGACCACTGAGTTTGTTGCTTGAACTATTTGTGAGAACAGTGCCCTACCGGAAGACGAATGGTTTGTTGAGACTGCAAAGTCGGCCATCAACAAGCTTCTGGCTGGGTCGGAATCTGAGGTTGACGATGACGACGATGGGCACATAATTTCTCATGGGAATAGCATCTCAGACTCCGACGATACAGCTTCTTCCCTCTCATCGGTAGAATCCACCGAGTCATTTGTATCAGCAAGTATGGGTGAAATTGAGAGTGCTGGGGATCTGACTGATCCTGAAGCTTGAAGAGTGATCAACACACCGCCAAGCCTCCCTTTGCTGTGCGCCTCTCTCCCTACAACTAGAAATCTGAAATATGCAGTGTTCAGATGGCAGCTTCCCTTATGGTTATCAATCAATGTAGCAGTTTCTATGTATTGAGAATAGATTAGACATTAATTAATAGTGTATACTTGTGATTAGAATTATGGTGCTAACTATTGATCGCTTAGTTCTTATTTCGGACAGTTAATTGATTACTAACCCTGACTTTGTTTGTCTGGAGTCTGGCATCTCTCGCTCTCTCTCTCCCCCCGAAAAAGCAGATAATACTCTTATCCGTAAAATTCTTCAGAAACACATTGATTTCCCAGTTTTATTATCCAAGTTACCACACTACACCAGAAACAAATACAATACACAAAGTCAGCCCAAACGGGGATTTCACTCCCAACTCCGCAACTTGTTCCACTCTGGCACCATGGATTAGAAGCATGGTCCATGAAACCGTACCGGACACCGTACCGGAAAAGTTAGCGGTAGGGTATTTTATGACAAAACCGTAGTTTCATCGTAGTTCAACCGTTCATACCGTTAAATACCGCCTACTGGTTTAGCCTCCAATACTGATATTTTGTGGTTTTACCGTCGGTACGATACGGTTTCATGGACCGTGATTAGAAGGCCACCCTTCTATCTGCCAGTCCAGACTTCATACAACCCAAAATAAAGCTTCATATCAGTAGCATCAGTTGCGACGGTGACCTCCAGCTTCTCTGTCTCGAACTCTTTATCGATCTCTGCTTGATCTGACAGCTTTATCTTTTTAGCTGTGTACTTCCCTGCCTGCCCTATCTTACCCATCAAGTAAACAGAGCAACCATTCCAACCGAATGCCCCTTGCTTCATCTGCAGCCTGAAGGAAATTGCATACTTCTTCCCAGCCTCTATGCTGTCTTTCAATGAGGTGATGGTGCTTACTTCAAGCCAACTCGCCTGTAACAGCTCAGCCGGCCTTCCATCCCTGTTATTCAGACACCATACACTGAACCAATCACTGTCTGTGGAGTGAAGTTAAGATGCATAGTGGTGGAGAGAAACCATGATTTTTAAAACTTACGTGGGAACATGCCAGTAGCGACCATCCTTTCCCCATATGATGCTGAATGCTCTAGGTTTAAACCATGATGATTTAGCAGCCTGCAAATCCATTTATATATCCCTCTAGTTAGTTTTTATGTTCATTATAGAAACATGACAACACCCAGCATAACCATGTATATATTACTCGTGTAGGGATGAGCAAAAGACCTCATTTGGCAATGTGAAGCAATCCGATAGAGAGCATGGAAAAGGAACGGAAACTGATTTCTAACCTCTGTGAAATCCACTTCAGCTGGATCTCCCTCGTGATGTGGTTTTGTGTTCATGTTGAAAGGAGATAAATTCTTGTGCTACTAGAGCAGGAAGAACTAGAGGCAATATCTGATGCTTTACTTAACCAGCCTTCCTCGGCCTCTATGTATATAAGTAAATATTCTCAGGAATGGTCTCCACTCGATGTAAATAGTGGCTGAAAACGCAGCATCATGTACAAGGAACTGAAAGAGAATCATTCAAAGCCATGCACAAGCAAGTTGTGTTAAATGAAATTATGAAATTGTAAAACTTGAACGTGAGAAGGCATAGTTATTCTTGTCTTGATATGGGGCAAAGCAGTTCAAAAAGATACTTATCTGCAGTGCTCCATTTCAACATCAAGGAAAGAATTGATCTACCATCCCCACACAGTTCCTCAAATCTCCTCCATATAATGTATTCATATGCTACGAGCTCTGTAAAGCATAAAATTTGTGCCTTGGAACTGCCCACCAGATTCTGCAAATTGAATTCAGTGGACGGCTAATAGTAGTCGCCATCAGGGATTGGTCGCTACAGATTTGGAACTCATCTATTCCCACATCAGGTCTCTAGATGCTTTCAAGAGTATCAACATTAAGTACCTTTCAATAACTCAAACTGAGAAACAGTCATAAAAGTGACAGCTAACTTCATTTCATTTACAGTTGTAACTTCCACAGCCTCTGACTTATTTATCTACCTTGCCTTCACCTTGATTCTTCACTTTGCTGTGTACTGACTTCTGCATTGGCGACAGCCTTAAACATCACTTTACTTTCCGCTTTTCAAAACAAATATTCTAGAAACACAGACAGAGCCTAAATCAATTAAAATCTCCAATTGGTTGGCTAGAAAAGCATCCTGCATGAGTTCCTGTCTAGAGAAGATTCACAATTACTTCATTAGAGATTGGAATTCCATTCACGAGGATGCATAATCATATTATTTTCCACTTCTGTGATTATTATCACAAAGACCACTGGAGAATGGAAAAGGAATCTGCATTTCTCGGGTCTTTGTTCCATCCATCTAACAATTTTCCAACCCGCAACAAGGAGTCCAGTCCATATCAAAATATCCATTGAAAAGATTATTACATCACAGAAGTGGTTCATCGCACCCTTCCTAAAATATCAGTGCTGTTCATCAAACATTAACTACCAAGCAATGCAGATAGAAGTAGAGTAACAAATGTGTCCCCCAAATTTGTAAATCAACCCTCACGAATTTTACTCCTTGGGAATGGGTGTGGAACAGTGGAAGCCAAGTCTTCCATCGTCACCGGCTTGTGTAGCTACAGTCAGAACAAAATTTCCATGGATATGAAATCAAAACAGGAAAAATGAGATGGGGAAGGGAGGAATAAAAGAAGAAACTAAAAGGGGGAAAGTACAGTGTTTGTCCATCAACAAGCAGAATGCAACTTTTTTCTGCCCAACGGTTAACACAGACAAAAGATCCATAACACTTAAGCAGCTAATTTGCTAGACCTATGCACATTGATTCTCTTCGGTTTCTAGAAGTGTACTTCACCGCAATAGCTTCATCTACAATTGGTATTGCTGATGCAAGATGTTATAAAGACCCACTTCACAAGGAAATGAAAAGGGTAACTTAAGAAATCAGGATAGAGGGAGCTCCAAATTGAAGCAAACACGTAAAGACTAACACTCTAGAGCCCCAAGTTCAAACTGAAATGATGATTAGCTTAATACTAGTGTCATGGTATGATTGAACCACAGATGGTCCATTCCAATGTTATCTTTATTCTTAAAGAAGCTCATGATGTCACAGAAAGAAAACTTACAGCTTCTGCAACAGATAACCAATGGAGAGACCGAATGAACGTATCGTCTTGTGAAGGTAGAGTGTCGTGATTCCAGTAAGTTATATTCTCAAACTTTGCACTCGGTTCCCAACAGTTAGAGTTGACATCAGAAACTTTCCTCTTGCCAATACTTTTCTTCCCCAAGACAAATCCTGCAAAGCACCAAGACCCAAAACAAGGAATAATTTACTTGCTAGCAACAAACTCAAAAGTCACTTGGGCAAAGCCAAAAATTCAACGCGGGAGATAAAAGAAGATAGATACAGGAGAGGCAAATTCGGGTACCAGAATAGCCAGATGGAATGGGAATCGCTACACCATGTAGCTTTCTGCCCCTGAAATACGCTTGCTGCTCTGCTAGTCCATCAACTTCTAACCCTAATTCGGTAAATCCCAGAATGACGATAAAGATGCATATTCCGAGGAGAAAGAGAGAGAGAGAGAGAGAGAGAAACGTAAGAGCTAAGTGGGGGTGAAGGCGGGCGGAAGAATACCAGTGGTTTTAGGATTGAAGTAGTCGGAAACGTCGGAAGGGCCGTCGTACTTGATACAGCAGGGCAGGTGGTGGACCTCGCCGGTGAGGTCCGGAACTCCGGAATTCGTGCCGTGATTTTTGTTCAGACTTATGATCCCGGCGGTTCCCATATTCAGATTACTGTCTTCATCCATTGATTTTCGCTTGCCTTTTCCCCACCTCCCAACCTATCTATTCCCTCTGCTGGCTAGTTCCTCGACTTGGGTTTTCTGTTTTTTTTTTCTCCGTTCAATTGATAAGCCGTAACCTTACTATTTTCCCGCCCTTTTCAGCCTCCGATTCCCTATCCCGCTTTCCTTTTTTCGACAAAAAATAATTTTGTATTGATTGAAAAAGACATCAAACATGTTACACATTGGTATATAATTAGATAAGAAAACCAAAATAACGACACGTAGCCGGGTACAAAGAAATGTCTTTTCTAGCCACCAAGTGTACTATCCTATTACTATTCCGACCTACAAATCGTACATTAAGACTATTATGATATGCCAGCAAACAACAAACTTCATCAAGAATCGCACCAGAGAGATTATCTTGCTTATCTGGTTGGTTGACCTTATCAATGAGCACCTTCGCGTCCCCTTCCAACCGAACCTGCGAGAGTCCACAATCCAGACACCACTAGATGGCCTCGCGGAAGACTAATAGTTCCACTATTGGTGGATCATCAATATAATTGATATGGACACCCCGAGTCAAGACAATCGAACCACTCTTGTCCTTTATAATCATCCCCCCCCCCCCCCCCCCCCCGAGTGTGATCCATTCCTTGTTGCACCATCCCACATGCAAGTAACCGAGCCTAAGATTGAAGCAGCCGCACTCTCAATCTGGGGAGTGTCGTTGAAGTCACTCTGTCAGCTAGTAAATCGAACCATTCCTTGACTTGTTGATGATACTGTCGCATCAACGCTATAACTCAAAATTGTTTTTCTTCAAAGACAACCCAACTCTTAGATTTCCAAATCCGCCAGAGAGCCACAACAATAAGCATACTCTAATGGAGTTGATTAAGCAGTAACATCAACTTCTTAAGAAAAGATGGAAGTTTTGGCGAGGGAGCCCTTGGCCTAGAGATTCTAGGGCAATGTGATCCCAAAATTGCCCTTGCCAACATATAGTAAAAAAAATAGATGCTCCATAGTCTCCGATTCAGCCCAGCAAACCGGGCATCGGGGTAACACTTGAGCCTACTTCTCGAGCAGAGCTTCCGTGGTAGGAAGGATGCGAATGAGAATTTTCCAGAGAAAAATATTAAGCTTAAGAGGAATAGAGAGGTCCAATATCCAAATCCAGCTTGAACGATCTATCCAAGTGACCGTCTTTCATCTTCTTATATATTGTTTTGTTGGCAATTCCACAAATGAAGTCTAAAACCTTCATGAATGAAGTACATAATGATAATAGGAAGAGTATCAAGCTACTTTTGGGGAAATGCGGTTGGGATGGTAATCAAAGTGATTGTGGGTATCAGACTGTCTAAGATCAAGTCAGTGCGGGACAATAACGTTATGGCGCACCAAGCACATTTTGTGTGAATGTGTTCAAAGTCTTCCCATTGATTCACATCACCCAAACTGAAAATGAGTGGTCAGAATTGTTGGTTTAAAGAAGGGATTAGAAATAGGTTTTTCCAAGACTCGAGGGAGCCAAGTCAAGCCAAACCTTTTCCTTTCCATCTCTGACACTTTTACTTTCTCATCCACTCTCTTTAACTTCAGCTTTCTCATATCCCTTTCTCTCTTTCATTTTCCTCTTTCATAATAAAATTGTTCTTCGTTCTCTCTTCTACTCTGACGAAGAAGGTGACAACCAACTCTTCCCAAATTTGTCGTCCTCTTTGAGGCTTGGAGGCGAGCAACAAGGGCATTGGAGCTAAACCAGGGAGTAGTGCAGAGATCCGGGAGATCTTCAAAACTGGGACAACCCACATTCAGTATTAGAGAAATATTAAATGATTTGATAAACTCACATTTAGTACTAGAGAAACTCCACGATTTGATACTCATGTTCAGTACCAAGTCACAAATATTAAGTCAAATAAACCAATCATCTACGGTACTCGTTCGACTAATATTCAACATGACACCACATAAACTTATATTCAATACCCATTTAAATGATATTCAGTGTTTAATAAACACATATTCAGTATTGATATGTTTTTTAATAATGGTTAATGTGATTAGGAATACTGGTTCGACACATAATGAATATTTGTTCATTTTGTGGATACTTGTTGGTCTTGAAAACCTCGACAATATGTCTGGATCGCTTGAGACCTCATCAAATATTTGTTGAACTAGTCAATTGAAAATGTGGGACAGGGCAACAGTTAACATATGAATGTAAACCAATTAGTATACATTATTGAAAATGAATAGAAAATATATTTTGGTACATAAGAAACTAGTATTATGTACAAGTGAACTAGTATCCAAACATTACAAAATATATTTTGAATACCAGTTGTCTTCATAATGAATACTACTTGCAATGAGTTAGAATACTAGTTTATTACTAATAATTAAATATTATTTGGTGCATGATGAATACTTGTTGTTATCATTTGTATAATACTTGGCAGAATAATAAAAACTACTTCAAACATATTTCGCTTATTATGATTACTTTTGTCTGTTAGTAATATTGATTTGTGTCTAGAGTATTTGTTCGTCTATGTATCGAATATTTGTTTATATGTTTTAACAATAGTATAATTCGGAATGAAGATGAACGTACCAGTAATCAGTGAGAGCTCAAAGAGAGCGGCAACAGCAGGGGAAAAATTTGACGATGGGAAGAGAGGATAAGCGGCAGCGATAGACGGAGTCGGCAACACCTCTCATCTTAAAATAACACTTTCAAAGAGAAAAGAGGAAGAGATAAACTGGAAAAAAGGGGAAAGAAGTTTGAGAGAGAATGAACACTTTCAGAGAAAAAAGATAAAGAGAGAAGGTGGAAAAAGAAAGAGAGAAATGAGAAGGAAGAAGCCTTTCTCTCTCACCTAGTGGTCCCTATCTCCTTCCCTCGGGTGTACATGGGCATTGGGCTGTGCTTGGACCAACACGGCCCGGACACGGTTCGAGCCCATTTATTTTGTGTCGTGTTTGGCACGACCGTCAGTTTTCGTGTCGTGCCGTGTTAGCCCATTTGTTAATTTTGCTAGACCTAGACCTGTGCACGATTTGAATCATGACGTGCTTATTCGTGCTCGTGTCATGCTTATATTCGTGTTTAATGAAAAGGAAGAAAATAAAAGTGGGAATGAAAAAGAAGGAACAAATTGGGCGGAGAATGAACTATTAACCGAGAATGTTTAATAAATGTAACAAATGGGGGGGGGGGAGAAAATTGGAAGTATAACGGGTGTGATTTGACTTTGTTTAATACTTCGTCTATTTTTACTTATGATAATAATTATGTATATATCTTTATGATCACTTCTAACAATAGTAAAATAATATTTATTCTACTTGTATTTTTTAAGATTTGAACCTATAATCCTTTTTATATTTATATTTTCTCAAATAAATATTCTTTTCATGTCATGTTCTTTCTTATACTCAATAGGGTCTCGAAAATATTAGGTCCGGCAAGGCCCACTTAAATAACGTGTCGTGTCCGTGCTTGTGCGCGTGCCTATGAAGTTTAGGCCCGGCACGACCCATAATTTATGCATGCTCGTGTCAGGCTAACCCATATATTTTGTGCTCGTGCTCTATCCATGTCGTGTCATGCTAGCCCGTGGGTTTCCTGGCCCAAATGCCCACGTACATCCTCAGCTAAGCTCAGTCGACTTCAATTCACAGCTTCTCTCTTACCCGAGCCTGCCCTCCAGCCAACAATTCCTAACAACTCGTTTTGCTTTTAGTGATGTGGACCAATGGATACTCTCTGAGCACATGCACGTAAAATGTGTCTTGTACACTATAGCGAGATTGAGTGCGGGAAATCTTCGCATTGATTGAGTACTGGCTTGGAACAAGTAAAATCCGTAAAGAGTTTGATAATGAGGGACTGATATGATTTTATATATTTTTTTGGCTCATATCAATACTCATACACGCTTCATCAAAAGTATTTCTTTATATATAAAAAAATATAGGGATCATACTGTAATATGTCAAAATATAAACGATAAATTAAAAATATAAAGAGTTTAAATGTAATTGAGTGGCCACTCGTTTTATCCTCTAATTTATTTCCCACAATCACACTTTGTCCTTCATAGGGTTGACAACGGGGCGGATCGGGGACGGTTTCATACCATCCGTTTCCCGTCCGTTAGCTCTGTTAGGTTTCCCCGTCCCCGGCCACTCAACGGGGAGAAAACTGTTTCCGTCACCGTGAAGCAACGGATTCAGGGAAACCACGGGTCCCCGTTATCCGGCAGAAACAATAAATAATTAACATATTCAAAAAAGAAAGTAAATGGAAAAACATGTAATTCAATTGAAATCCAAAGTCATGTGAAACAAAAGCAACTTAACATCAAGCCTCCAAGGGTGCAACCCTCCCACCACCCAGAACTCTGAATTTTCAGTAGTTCTTCAATTGTTCGACATCAACTGTCTCATAAGTAAAGTAACAAAGAAAAAACAACTCAAACTCTCAAAGGCAATAAGCCACACACCATTGTTCAAATTTGGAACAAAACTACTGAACCATAACTAATGATCCGAACATACTAAATACTACTAAAACATAAGCATCTATAGATACTAGCATTCCAATATCCACTATCCAGCACCAGCAAGGCAGCAACAAGATTTGAAGAGAAGAGAGAGCGGCAAGTTTCCAATTAGGGATTAGGGTTTACCTCGAGCCCGACTGAAGGCTATGTATATGGTTATAATACGACGTCGTTTTCTGGACCGGGCGAACTCGAGGCGGATAGCATGGACTCCGTCACCGCCCGCCATCCGTTACCTACGGATAACAGGTTTCCCCAAATCCGTCAACGCCGGGTTGGAACTGTTCCGCCCAGCCGGGTTTCGGGCGGGTACCCGCCCGCGCGGTTTGAAATGCCAACCCTAGTCCTTCGCTCTTTGCAAACCCATGATTTTCAGTTATTCAATATGCTCTCCCATGCATAAAAATCTTTGATTCCACTAATTTGTCAGATGGATTCATGAATATTTTAGAATTGAATGCTTTAGATTCATATTACAAATGGTTGTATCTTTGTTGATTTGATAATTTCATACTTTGAATTC